GGAATGTCCATGCCAGCTTGGAGCCCTGGTCAAAATACACACATCTCCTGTTGCTTGGGGAGAAAATAAAGCTCTCATAATTGCTTGCATAAACACACCCAGAGGTGAAGTGTCTTCTTCACCCCAAGGTAAAGAGTGGTTGGGTTTGTCCTTCCAGTTGAGGGCAGGAGGATTGCAGCGTGTGGCTTTAGTCCTTTCCACCTAAATGGTTTGGTTTGTGGAAAACAACTACAATACTAATAGCAGGGAAATTACATAGAATAAGGTAGGATAGATAAAAGGTTGCTTTTAGTATTGTAGATGGGGAATGATTACATGGCATGATGCTGTCCTTAGATAAACCTCCAGAATACCCCTTTTACTTTGCTTCCTGTGGGGATTTTTTGCCTGTCTTGATCCCTGTGCTCTGGGCGTGGATTCTGCAGTGAGAGAACTTTTCCTGCAGGCTGAAGGAGTTAATGTAGAGCTGGATGACAGATTAGTCCAGGACAGGCTGTGATTTGGAGTAAGGGAACTATCCCAAATAGCTGGCCAGCTGCCAAGAGGATAGAAGGCTTGGAAAACATACTGGGAGGGCTCTGGAGCAGCTCTGGGTGAGGATTCTCTGTCAGTTTAACCACTGTGCTGCAGAGCCTGACTGACACACACAAAGTGCCTTCCGTTTATATAAAGAAAAATGATTAGCAAACACATGTTTTATCTCTGGGCTGCTAATAAATTGAGTAGGAAACTCCTCCTTTATTTCCCTCCAATGTGTGTAAAAAATAGGGAAAAATATTTTGATTAGAACGTTTTCACTCCCTTTTCTTCCTCTCCGTGCTGTTCTGCAGCCTGCTGTTGAGCTGATGAGGAGTGTGGAAGGGCTGTGAGAAGGGAGATTTTCTGAAAATCAGACACATTTCTATGGGAGTTGAATGGTTCAGAATTGTGTTCCACATAATTTACCAGGGATCTCTTGCAGTACAGATAAGAAGTCTGCCAAGCAGTAGTGCAGCTGAAGAGGTTATTTCCGTCTTTACTCTCCTGGGCACAGCTGGTAGGTGGGATGTTTCAAACAGGGGAAATTAAGAGTCAGGATGTGGTGATTGAACTCCCCATGATACCAGATCAGCATTTGGGGTTTTTGTAGGTATAAAAAAATGCTGTTATACTTTTGAATTGTGAATTTTAATTATTGCATGGAATTTGAAGCTTCAATTTTTTTATTTTACCAGCAGTTTGGTCACCCAGATGACACAAGTGAATGGCCTCAGTTCACTTCTCTCTGAAAAAGGAACCACACTGAAAATATTGCCATTACATTGGACTTCTCACTGGCAGTCTCTGCTGGGAGGAGGAGGACTGAAAGGATTAAAACAGCAAACTTTATTTCAAGTCCTTTTTTATGGAAAATTTTCCACTATGCTAATATCTGCCAGAGCAACACCAAAAGCAGTAGCAAAGGCAAGATGTTAGGGCAGCAGAATTGCTGGGGTTGTCAAAACCTGCTGGTCCCTTTGCCAGGAGACACCTGGAGCTGTGTCTGTCCTGGCATACTCCTTCCTGCTTGAGTGGAGTTCTATAAGTGGGAAAGGCTCCAGACAAAAGGCCAGTGTTGACACAGTTGTGGTCTCTCCAGGCCATGGTTGAGACACATCACTAGGGTGGTATGAGGGTAAGTTTCCATTAACAATTGTTCCCGGCTTGCTTCCACCACCACCACCACCACCGTGGAGCTCTGCAGCTGGATTTCCAAAAGAGCTCAATGCTCAAGAGTTCTCATTTCAGCAACTTAAATAGAGGGGCTAAGTTCTTTCCAAAACACTTGGCAGTCATCAGCCCCCATTGAGAACAAAGCTAAAGCACATTAAACAGTCCAGCCACTTCACTGTTGTGAAAATTTGGCCGCTGTTGTGAGTGCAGAGTGTTTAAATAATGCAGAGCCTGGCAGAGGCATCTGGCTCCCAGTGCTGGGCACTGAGGGGCCTTACCTTGCAGAGTGGCTTTCCTCCTTGGCCGATTCCTTGTGCATCAGAGCCTCAGAGCAGCCCTTTAGTGGCTGTTGTGACAGCTGGGAAACTTGCTGATGCAAGGATTAGTCGGCTGCTGGGCACATGACACTCAGATTGCTGTGCTTATTTGACCTACCTCTGATTGCGAGGAATTCGGTGCATAAAAATAACACCCCAAACAAATTTGGCAGGAGGCTGCAGAGGGAAAGTGCCGAGCACACCCGGGGAGCGATGCGAGGCGACGCCGCGCTCTGCGCTCCCGCAGCGACAGCACAGCCAAGGCCAGCACAGCCCACGCTGTCCTCTTGGATTACGGCAAGTTCCAGCACCGCAGAGATGTCATGGCCACTGGCCAGCAAGCTAACGAAGACAGGTTCCTGGCTTGCACTATTGGCAGAACTTGATAGAATAAATAAAATGATCCCGGGTGCCAGGAGTTGCCCAACGTAAAATGCTGGACAGGGAATTTCTGGTTTTTCTGCCTAGGGCTTGAGATACCCTTGTTAAGTCTTTTGTTCTTGACGGAGTTGCTGATCATTTGCAGGAGCATGACAGAACAGAGACTGGCAGAGGTGTGTGTGCCATGTGGGTGTAGGATATCTCACCGGGCAGCGCTCTTGGGGCTCCTCGTGACGGTGCTTAGACACATGGTTTGTTCAGGCTTTAGTGAACAGCGTTCCCCTTGAACGAGCTTCTCACTGGCACTGGAATATCTTGTGTTTGCTGAAGAGCCAGGTCTGTGCTCGTGAGAGCTTCCTGAAGCAGGGGAAGGAAACGTGTGCATGGAGGGAGCAAGGCAGGACCTTGACTGCCGTGTCTTCTCCCACACCGCTGTGGAGGTGCATCACTCTTTGTTTTGCTCTTGTATTGCTAAGATGCAATGCCTCAATTTTCTGTCTCTAAAATAAGTGGTTTTGCCCTGTTTTTAGGGTGATGTAAAATTTCTTGAGGCCAGTGACTACAGAGCTCATGTAATTGTGTAATATGGCACGCTACAGATAAACGATAATATGCAAACTGATCCTGTATATCAAGAACTTCAGCAATATTTAAATACAGGCTCTCACATGGGACAATTAGAAAGCTGGGCCAGATTTCACAATCCATTTTACTTTTAGAAACACCCCGCAGGCTCTCCAGAGATATTATAAAAGCACTCAGAGCTCGTGCCTTGCTTCATTTTTATCAGTATTACAGAATGTGCACCATTTGTAGGTGCACACCTCTGTGTATCTGTCCGCAGTAAGGAACACCTGGCTGCTGCGCTCACCCAGGGAGCTTTTCCCGTGTTTCATCCTTCGGATGAGGCCGTGGCAGCCCGTCCATCTGTAGCGATGGATGCCCGGGAGGTGCCTCAAGGCCGCTGCCCGCCGTCTCCAGGAGGGATGAGGCTTGTGAGCAGGGGCCGAGCCGCGGCTGTCCCGGATCCGGGAACGCGCTCCCGGCACCGCGGCACCGCGGGCAGGGGAAATGCCGCCAGTTCCCGGCTGGATTAACGGGGTGACAGCTGGGAACGCCGCGTTCCCAGCCCCGAGAGCGGGGAGAAGCCGCTGGCACCGCCGTTTCCCGGCTGCATGGACCAGGGGCAGCGGCAGCGGCGCGTCCCGAGCCGGGGCGGCAGCGCTCCGCAGCGGCACAACGCGTGCAGCAGCATCCTTTCCTCTCGCTCCCTCTCCCGCAGCCGCATCTCTATTTTGATAACTTTGATCCTCCTCTTCTCCTCTCCCCGGCCCTCACCAGCCTTTCCTGGAAGCTGATTTTATCAGCTCTAAAACAGGAGTTACAAAAGCTCTCCCTTAGCAAGCCCTGCGCAGTGCAATTCCCCTGGTGCCTTTTCCGTGCGGTTCCCATATTGTTAAAATAAAAACTACATTGTTAATGCTGGCCTTGGAATTAGAAATGGCATGTAGTGTTTACTGTTTTGCACCCTAAATATTGCAGATATGGGCACAAGTAAGGAAATATTACACAGCCACAGGATGTTTTTGTAGTTGTCATGAAAGCCGTCATATCGCTGAAGTCAAAATGAATTAGCAAATAGCCAAAATGATAAAAGAATATCTGCTTCAATCAGAAGGCCTCCCTCTGAAGTCTCTGAGGCTTCTACTTCTGAGGCATGTGAAAACTTCTGAAAATTCTGCCCCCGGGGATAGTCCATGTTTAGGCAGCTGACTTCAGGATCCTATTTTTGGAGCCTTTGGTTGAGATTTTAAATTGGATTTTTAGTGGGAATGGTGCCCAGATTGGTGCTGTAGGATCTTGAAGGCTTTATCTAAAATCAAAAAGAGAAAAATGGGAGATATAGCACTCATTTTCTGGGGATACGCTCCTTTTTATTAGATTTTATATACCATAAAAGAGAAGTGCAGCATCGATAAGTGTCTTCTTCATTTTTGCAGTGCATCTTTAAGGAATCATTGTAGTCTTTCATGTCACTGGTTTCCTTCACTGTCTTTTAGAATATCCCTGGTAGGATTTCATAAAGAATAAATAGCAGTCTCCTTGGAGTACTTCAGCACAGCTGAAAGTACACTTTCATAAGATGCTATTCATGGCAAGTACAATACATTGTTTGATTGTAAAATAAATATACTCTCAGAGGTATAACTGTGAGGGGTTACAGTGTGCTGATAGATCTGAACTAAATGACAGTGCTTATGATCTGTTCCTGAGGATGGGATCCTAATGAAGTGGTACAGGTTGGAGCAATACATCTTCTGCCTGCAGTCCAGTGCAGTTCAGTGTTGGATTCAATGATGTTACGTTGGAATCCAAGATTAGCAACCAGAGTTAGGCGCAGATGCTGAATATAAAGGCCATGAGCATGTCTGGGTCAGAATATGCACCTTGCAGAATGGACAGTCTAATATTTAGTAAGCACAGATACCAAATCTGAAAGGAAAGCTGAAAGAATTATTGCTTGTAAAATACGTAGAGATCTTCTAAAAACCTTTGCTACAATTAACATATTTTTTCTAACCCGGCTGTATTTATCCTGTATTTCTGTAGGTCAGATCTTGCCAGCAAACCGGAACACACCAAGCCCCATTGATCCTGAGACTATCCAAGTCCCTGTTGGCTACGAACCTGACCCTGCAGACCTTGCTCTGTCCAGCATTCCTGGCCAGGAGATGTTCGATCCTCGCAAGCGCAAGTTCTCCGAAGAGGAGCTCAAACCCCAGCCCATGATTAAGAAAGCTCGCAAAGTCTTCATCCCAGATGACCTGAAGGTAATTTGGAACTGGTGACGAGGTGATTTCTACAGAGTCTCTGACGGTTGCTTACTGAGGTACAGGTTTGGAGCATGAATCTGTTTTGTCATGTAAGGTAAATCTTTCCATGTAAATCTGACAGAATAAAACTGTTCAGGGTTCTGGATGAGACTGAAGGGAGGATGTCCCTTATTAGTTATGCAACAGTTGAAATTCATGAGCTCAGTATTCATTTCCTTTGTATGCCAGAAACTTCCTGCTTGACCTTGGACAAGCTTGCTTTGTCCCATATTTCCCACTTATGAAACAGCCTGATCATGTTTCCTTTTTCTTCATTCCGTCTCTATTCATGTTTCCTTTTTCTTCATCCTCTGTCTGTTCAGCACAGGCTGTGAATCCTTCAAGGAGAATGGAGGACCCTGATGACATACTGAAGTATATTGTGTCTTATTCAGAAGTTGCTGTAGTTCTGTGTTTAATAATGAATGAGAACGCTATAGTAAAAACTATTTCACTAATCCTTATTCACTAATCCAGGTGAAAGAATCTAGACAAGTGGTAGGAAAACAGAAGAAAACAGAATTTTTCTGCTGAGAGGTGTGTTTTAATACAATATGTAAAATACAATACTACATCAAATTTTAGAAGAAAGAGTCTGTGCCACTCACTGCTTCTGAGATGCGAAGAGCAAAGTGCATGAAGAGAGCAGGAAAATTGATCAACTGATCCAGGTTATCAAACACTCTGAGTATTATTTGCAAAGTTGTTTTCCCAGTATGTGCTTTTCAAGAGGATCTCTTTTATCAGAGGCAGTCAGGGCAGAATTTAATTCTGCTGTTGCTACTGCCCCCAAGAGACACAGCCTGAGAGCCTGTTGGAGTCAGTGGGAATCCCTGGCTGCATGTGCAGGGAGCCTGGGATGCCATGTGTTTGCACCAGATTGATAGCATTAGGGAAAGAAGCTATTTTTATCCCTAAGCATGCTGTGGTGCAAGTTAAAAGCACAGAAATCACAATTGTGTTCAGGTTGCTGTCACTCAGCTTTCCTTTGCAAAGGGTTTCTGCACCTTGTTGCTTACCTGGGCAAGTTCTACTGCCTGTGACGCCCTGTTGGGCTGCAGTGCCCCAGGGAGAGGTGTTTGCTGCAGGAATGGCTCTCCTAGGTACCCTTATTCATCAAAGCAAGCTTTTGGCAAAGGTCCTGCTGGCCAGAGGTGGAGCCCAGCAGTGCAGCACAGGAGTGAAGCAGGAGCTCAGGGTCTCTCATTCCCTCGGGATCATCCCATCACTTGCCCTTGACTCGTTTCAGAGCACTTGACCCAAGTGCTGCTCCTGCCCTGGCATGTGGAGCAGCCCCTGGGTTTTGGGGGAGGGTAAGCAGATTAGAGCAGTCAATCGTCTCTGGGCTGCATGTGATTTGGAAATGCCAGCCTTACCTCTTTCAGGCCTGGATTAAGGGATTTGCCATAGCAATTTGTTAAAATAAAGAGGGATGAAGCCTAGGTGGCACACTAATAAATTGCTTAAAGCTGATTTTTATGGAGTGAATTGAGATGGGAAATTATAAACAAGATTTGGGTCATAGCTTTTTGCTGCATGCTTGTTTTTTCTGAGGATCTGGGGGGGTCCATCTACGTACAGTTGAAGAGCCATTTAGAGATAATGCTGGCTCCAGAGCAGCATTCCTGCACACTTTGTTGAGCCAAACTGATAGAAAGCAGTTCAAGAGCCCTCCTGCCAGCAGTTGTTTTGCTCCTGGTTTGCCTTTTGCAGCAGCAGAAGGTGCAGAGCAGCAGGATTGGGCTGGGCAGAAGGACCCAGGAGTGCTGGGTGTTTGCTCAGTGCAGCAAAGGAGCAGCTGGGTCTCGTGCCCTGTGCTGGTCCTTGGGAGCTGCACAGGGAAATGGAAGCATGATAAGATGAAGAAAGAGGGAGTTTGAGCTCTGTGGCTTGGCCAGGCAGAGTTTGAGGGTTGAGTGGCTGCATCACTCATACCCTGCAGGGGACGGAATTTCACTTTTCCTGAGAGATTCTACCTGCTTTGTATTTCCTGAGTTATTCCAAAGTTCTAGAACTTAATTCAGTTATGAAGCAACATGGAAACTGCTATTTTGCTGAAGGCCTCTTCATTGGAAGAGTAGAAAAATCAGGTGAAATTCAGTAGTTGCTTCGAGTCTTTGATACACCAATGCAGTAAGGTGATCTAGAGGCAAGTCTTCAGGGATAACACTTTGGAATGTGTTAGCTTATGAAACCTCCGGGAGTAGTAGACCTATTTCTGTCCAATGTGGTTTTTTTTCCCCAGCCAAAGCCTATTGCACTAATCTCTGTGGCTGGTCCCAGAGCAGCCATCACTGCTGTGCCAAAGAGTCCTCTTGTAGTGACGGTGGTGCAGACAGGATCATTTTGGGCTCTGCAGAGTGCTTTGAACATTAAAAAAGAGCAGAGCAGTAGATGAAGTGGGTGATAGAGAGTGAAGCAGGTGTTGGCTGGGAGCGCTGAGCAGGGCCAGAGGTAGCTGGTGCTGCTGGCAGCCGCTGCTCAGGGTGAGTCATGGCACACGAAGGTGGATGTGCTAACTAGGTCAGCCTGGATGGGAGATGGGCTGTACCTCCGGAGCATTGCTTCACTTTTCCTTGGAGGAATTCCCTGTCAGGAGGATGAGGGGGTTAGTGTAAACATTCTGACAGAAACATGTGAGGGCATCTGCGCTGCCAGGGCGGATTGTGCCACGCCAGGCTGTAACTCCGGTGACACCGGAGCCGCCCGCGGTCCGGTGGGCAGCTCCTCTCCTACCACAATGTAACACCTTTGTTTGCCTCTCTGTGTGTCTCACGAGCAGGATGACAAATACTGGGCCAGGCGCAGAAAGAACAACATGGCAGCCAAGCGCTCGCGGGACGCGCGGCGGCTGAAGGAGAACCAGATCGCCATCCGCGCCTCCTTCCTGGAGAAGGAGAACTCGGCCCTGCGCCAGGAGGTGGCCGACCTGAGGAAAGAGCTGGGCAAGTGCAAGAACGTCCTGGCCAAGTACGAAGCTCGGCACGGCCCCCTGTAAATCTGAGGCAGGGGAGGTGGGGTGTTTTGGTTTTTTTTTCTTTTTTCTTTTCTTTTTTTCTTTGTCGCGGGTTGGCATTTGACTAGATGGACAATGTGTTTCCTGTTTGATAGCACCACGCCCAAACCAACCTTTCTGTCTTCAGCACTTTACCAGAAGCAGAAACAAAACTGACTTAACGTTGGTTTTTTTGTTGGTTTTTTTTTTCCTTTTTGTTTGCGTGTACGTGTCCCTGCGTATGTGTGTGCACACATCTGTGTCTGTGGGTGTGCATGTGCGTGGCTGTGGGTGTGCGTGTGCATCTCAGCACTTCCCATTTTTATCAGCCCTCTTCAAAGGGTGCCACATTTTTACCTGGACTGTTGAGAACCGCCATAGTAAGCTTTTTATTATATATATTTTTTTTTTCCTTCAGTGCTGCTTCAGAGTAGGGGTTTTATGTTCTCGTAATCAGTTCCATCCTCCTGATTTACTTGGAAAGATCCCAGCATAAATTACAAAAAAAAAAAAAGGAAAAAAAAAAAGAAAAAAGAAAAAAAAGGTAGATCTCAGTTTTTTTTGAGAGTAACAAGCTATCGTTTTAAGTCTGTCTAATCAGAAAAGTTAACATGCTAATAAAGTGCACAAATAATTATTTAGTACTACACTGCAGAACTATTAATTTATAGATCGCTTTTGTTGTATTTTTAAGTTTTGGTAATAATTGTCTTCAGATTTAAAAGTGCTGTTAGATTGAGTTTAGCTATACTCATGATAGATCCCATAATGGCTTCTCTGTAGCTACTAAGGTTCCTTTTCTCTCCACGGACCCCAGGTAGGTAGGTAGGAGTTGTTGGTAGAGCACGGAGTGTGTACCTTGCACTGCCTGTACCTGAAGCAATAATCCTGCGTGCATGCTGCCCGGATGTTCCCCGTGGACGTGGGAGGGTTCCCTGCCCAACAGCAGTCTCCAAGTCTGTAACAAGGAGTTCCAAAAAGTCCCAACACGTTCCCATGAGCATGCTGGCTGTGTCCCTGCCGTGGGGGAGCGCATGTGTCAGGAGCAGGATCGTTAGCTGGAAGTGAGAGCAAAATTAAATAGCATCTAATCAGATCTGATGTTGAAATCAGAGGGGCTTTTCTGTTTTCAGTTAGTTACTCCATTTTGTGATTAAAAGTTGAATAAATACCTAAATTCAGTTGGTTTTTCCCCATGTTTTGTAATATATTTTCTGTGGATTATATCTTGCTGTTTAAAAAAAAAATCACTTTTATTGAGTTAGAAGAAGTCACTGGTTTGCAAAGCCCATTTTTTCCTAGTGATTGTTGTTTTTGAGTGTGACATGAACTGATGGTTCTGAACTTCATTGTTTTAAACTCTCTGCTTTTGAACATGTATGTTCTAATATAAAGTGGACTTCTGAAAAATGAATGTAAGAGACACTGGTGTATTTCAGAAGGGGATGGTGTTGTCATATACTGTGGTTAATCCAATCAATCTAAGTGTTTACTCTAGACCAAAAGGATAGATATTATAAAATGTATAAAGTTTATACAGAATAATTATAGTATGTTCGTTTTGTACAGTATTTTTCAAGTACAAATACTGACAATGTATTTTGAAAGACATATATATAGCAAAAAGGAAAAGCTATTCCATGTTTAAAATATATAGCAAAGATATATATTCTCCATTATTGTATAGAAAGGAAATGCTTAGGGGTTTGTTGGTTGTTGTTTTCTTCTTTTCTTTTTTTAAATCCGTAATTTTAAGCCTGGCACACTGGCATGTTCTGTGCTTTAAATTAAATTTTTATGGAAGTAATATGGCTTTCCAGGATTTTCCATATTACTGAAAAAGAGAGACTTCTTTATTTTTCATCAGAAACACGTAAAGAAACTGTTTAACAGGGACAAAGCACAACATGGATTTTAGTCAACTATTGATTGGACATTGCAACATTTTGTAATGGCAGAAAAATAATACATAATACAAAACCACTCATCATAATTTCCAATCTGCTGCTGCTGCTGTTTTCCAGCTGATTTTTTTTTTTGTTATAACCAGCTCAGATCCTGTACACAGCTCTGTGTACTGCCTGCAGTTAGTAACGTGAGGAAAACATGGTGCTACGTCTTGCTCACAGTTTTCCAAGCGTCCTGGCATTATTTTCAAATAAAAAGGTTGTTCATTCCATGAAATCATTATTCTTGCTTCAGGAGATGGCTGCAAAGAACTCAGCATTTTGGTCAGCATTAAAAACACCCTTGCATGGATGGCATTTCCCCAGTGTTTTCACAAACTTACCTGAATGTTAGTGTCCTGTAGGGTGCAGTGCCTGCCCGTGGACCATTGGTTCAGCAAATTGAGTTTCCGTGTGCTGCAGAAGGTCTGAAGTGCAGGGAGTTATTCCCTAAACGTTGGCAGAAGGCACTGCCAGAGTCAGGAGGGTCTGGCACAGTTGGGGTCTCTGCTGCAGCCCCTTGGGAATGCCCCTGGTTTTCCCTCTGGGGAAACCTTTAACACACCTTTACCAGCAGCACAGCAAACTGCAGCACTCTCATCACCCCCACAAAGGGGAATTTGAGGGGTCCCAAGAGCAGGGTGAGCTCATTGGTGCCACTGCTAGGGCAGGTTGTGACCACAAAACTTTGTGTAACGTGGAAAAAAAGGCAGCTTGGAAAAGAAAAAAAAGAGAATTATTTTGTTTCCTTGGGCAGGGAAGGGGTTGAAAACTGGATGTCAGGTTTGTTGGGGCAGGGCCACAGAGGTTCCTGGCTCTGCCCTGCCCAGCAGTCCCAGAGCCACTCTGGTGCCTCCTCGTCCCATCCTGGCCCTGGAATGTCACAGCCTCTTCTGGGATGGGGACTTCCTGAGGAGCCTGTGGGACTTGGGCACTCTGGCTGCTCTGAAAACCTCACCCAGAAAAGAGGAAAAAAAAAAAAAAAAAGGCAGAATGTGTGGGTTTAAAACTTGGAAAATCCCCAAGTTCATTTTCCAGGTTGTCTCCCTAAAATAACAATGAAAATAAATAAATGGAAGTTCAGCTCATTTTCAGTTCCCAAGGATGGCTCAGCTGGGCTCATCACACCTCTGATGGCTTTGTTGCTCATGAAGGAGCTTTTAGGTATAAGAAATTGTAATTTTATAAAAATAGAAATATATATATTTGCAGAATTATTAATAGCTTATCTAAATAATTCACTGACCTCTATTACACTATAAGCATTGGTAAAATGCTTGTCTTTTCTTTCATTTTTTGCTGAACCTTAGAAGTGGATTTTTTCTTTTTACAAAAGAATGCCCTCTAGAAATCAGTGGGACTGGAGATGGATTTGTGCATCTGAGCACCTTGGGGCTCTCCGTGGGAAAGCTCATGACAGAGGAGGGGGTATTTCTTTTTCTCTTTTGAGTGGTGCTGAAGTCACTGAACCAAGCACCATGGAAATAAGTTCTGACTTGAATCCACAAAAGCAAGAAATTCAGATTGCAGGGGAGGAGCCAGAGCAAGCACAAGGATGGGATCAGTTCAGACCCCTCTCATTTGAATATCTTGCCTCTGTGGGTTTGTAATACCCCCAGTTATTGCTTTAAAATTATTTTTGCAGGTAATTTTACAATAGAGATGTGCAGTTTATTTTTATTTTTTTGACTTTTTTATGTGAAGAAAAGAAATTATATTAAAACTTACATGTGATCAACCATCGTATTTCTGGCAACACCACAAGACAGAATTAAATACAAGTTTAACAAATAGATCAAATTATCTGTATGACAAGAAATGGTTTGCATCCTGTATGCTGTTCAGCCCAAATCTTTTTTTTTTTTTTGTCTGTTATTCTTAATGTTTAATAAACTTTTAAATTTTTCTTCTCTCAGCTGTGTGCTTGTTTTGGTGTGTCAGGGCAGGGGGCTTTTGGGGGGGCAAATATCCCCAACCTTCCCAGCTGCCACCAGGGTTGGGAATAACCACAGCAAACGTGTATTTACATGAGATGAAATAATTCAAATTATACTATAATTACTGCTATTTACTATTTTAACAAAAATATATTATTTTATATATATGTATAAAAGTAATAAAGTGGTACAGTGGAAGCACCATTTCCATACATTATACACTTGGTGTATCATGAGATCATGTGTTAATTCACTGTAAATTCATAAAAATGCTGCATATCAAGGAGTACTTTTTATTGCAGTATACACCATAACTTATTAATTTTACTCTCCATTATAGCTAATATTTTATATGGACCACATGACAGATGATACATACTACAGGCTTTTAGATCTCTAGTTTATACAAAGATACAGCCTGAGAGAGAAAAACTGTAATTCAGGACGAACCCTTCCTGTATACAAGTTATTAAATATGAATACATATGTATCTGTGTATTTATAGCTGGGTACAGAGCATGATGTATAGGCACACCTACCTATAAAATCTGCATTTTAATATACACAGTACCTATTATGCACAAAATGTATCTTTTAATAATACACTGACTCAGTCTCCCCTCTCTGTGTGTGCATGCTTTCATTAGTTTTAAATATATAGCTCTAATATAAATGAATATATTTTAATATACATATTAAAGATGCATGTGTATATAAATTTTAAAATATATAAATTAAAATTGCATTTTCATATGCCATGTTTATCATAATTGCTTTTAGCTTCCTACTTGTATACACCTTTATAAATATATCAATAGCTTTATTAATACAGAAATTTTAATGAGACAGAAAGTGTTTTTGATCTAATAGCCACATGCATATGTGCACCTGCACAAGCACATATATCCCTGGCCATCCATAGAGCTATACATTGGCTAATTACACTTTCATAGAGAATATTTAACAGCACTTATTTTATTAATAAACTTTTATAACTTTAAAAAAAAAATACATATTTATTTTATTGCTATAAAGGATGGTTTTGCCATATATGTTATGCACAAACTATAATTGCTACAATACACAAACACATCCTTGTAGCTCTTTCTGTGTTTTATATATTTACAAGTTTAAGAACTGTGTCTCATTTAGGCTACCACAATTTAGTACTTGAATAAAACTTTTTTAATACACATGAAAAATATTTTATTGTTAGAAAGGTCTGAATTATGCACAAGAGTTTTCATAATATACATATATTTCCACACTCACCTGTGTGAGCTCTGGGTGTCTATAGACTGTATATAGATATAGATATAGATATAGATATAGATATAGATATAGATATAGATATAGATACACATAGAGAGAGAGAGAGTGTGTTTATATACATATTTATAGATCTATATGTATATATACACTCTACATATATATGTGTAAATATATGTATGTAGTGTGTCCATATACTGTTGTATACACTGATATAAACTCAGTTATATTTTCATACAGCATACTTAGTAGAATTTAATAATCTAGGTTAATATTTTTAAATTTAAAATTATGTATTTTCTTACTTTAAAAGTCTGTTTTTACTACACATTCTGTATCATGCACAGACACCTATGTGTACACACACCTGTGCACTCCCCTTCCTCTCACTGTCTAGTCAGAGAGAAATTTAAAAATTTCATTTCCATATAGCATATGGAAAAGAATTAATAAGGTTTCTAGTATTTTTGCATGAAGATTCATCTAAAAACTGTCATCACTGACAGGTAAAGATCTGAGTATAAATATATAGCATATATGGTGCACCAAAATGTGTTTAATAGCCCAGAAACCCTTCCTGTGGCTCTCGTGCTCAGCCCCTCTGCACACACAGGTCTCTGTCACTGAGGTTTCCCTGTACACACCCAGCACAGGTTTAAACAAAAGGGATTTATCTTTACCCAGAAGCGTGTATAAAATTATGTGATTTAAAGGTTAAAATTTAAATTTTTGTATTGTTTTTAAAGGCTAGATTTATATTTTTGAATATTTTTCAAAAATATATGAAGTAGATTTTATATTGTGATGAAGATTAATGAATGTTATATGGGACACAACATGTGTTTCTTCTAATACACACATTCATCCTGTCCAGGTGTTTATGCACATTTATCTTTACATGCACACAACCAGAGACATTTAATAATTACATTTCACACTGCCAACTCAACAGCATTTTCTTCATTAATTTGGATTTAGAGCTTTGTGTGTATTTTATTGCTAGAAAGATATTTGCTATATATATTATTTATTATGTACAAAATATAGTTCTTATAATGCAGAAACACACAAGGCCTCCTTGACTGCCTCTGTGTGTGCTTTTGGCAGCCTTTTTATTATGATATTTTAATATAAAGTATAGAGCAGCTAATACATAAAATGTTTTTTGGAGATGTTTTATTTCTTATTTACTTTTTATGACAGAATTTTCACATATGATGAGGTATTTATTAGTACACATTTACATATTCAGAGAAAATTTAAGAGGTATTATTAATGCAGCATAGTTAGTAGCATAAATATACTTTAATCTGTTAGTATTTAAAATAAACCATCTCCTCTCCACCCCAAGCCCAGGAGGCACATCCCAAACACATCTTTATCATCTTTATGAGGAGCTAAGGGAATATTTTGGAGTAGTTTTCCAGAGCTTTTGCCAGTTTGGGGTCCTAGTGCTTTTGTTTTAACCCACCTGCTTTGACTTCAGGATAAATTTGGTGGATTTAACATTTCTGGGGTCATTCATGGATGAAATTATCACAGAAAAATAAAATCCATTGTTTAAAATTTTAAAAAAATGACTGGAAAAGTCCAGTCCTGAGGAGTTCCCTTGGCTGGGCACAGCTCCAGCAGCTTTGGAGCATCCGGCGCTGCCTTGGGGCTGAGTTTGCTCTTTCTTTTTGACTCCTCTCATCCAAGTCCCAGTTTTCATGAAACCTGTGAGAACTTAAGAATCTTTGAGGTGCTTTAAATCCTCTATCACCCTTGCCCAGCTGCTTAAAAGAAATTAATCTGGAGCCAAATAAAGACACAGTCATGCCCATGGTAAGTCTGGACGGCAAAAAACAAATCCTCGATATTGCATTTAAGAGCAATAAATAGGATTTGTCACTGTGACTGTGTCCGGCGCATTTCCACAGTGTATAGTTTGTCTTTTTAAATATGTATTCACTCCCTAAATGCAAATGTGGGTGGGCAAATGGGAAAGATCCGTGGTGGGAATGCTGAGAGCCCCTCTGAGCCGACACAAGAGGTCACACAAGAGCTGTGAGCGGCTCCAAGCGCTGGGATCTGCTCCAAACACCGCCAGCTTTTCCTCTTCAACATCCCCTTATTCTCCCTTGGGTGTTTTTCCCTCGGTGCAGCTGCTGCAGGTGAGACCTGTGAAGATCCAGGTCACGGTGCTCAGGGACAAGCAGGTGTCACCTCAGCAGTGCCACTGAGAGACATCGCGGCTGGAAGAGTCAAACACGCTCGGGCTCGAAAGGATGGTGCTCAATCATTCTGCACACTCACAGGCTCAATATTAATCGAAATGTGAAAATTAGCCCCGCCTTCAGACAGCACCCAAGAGCCAGGTTTCACCTGGGATGGATGGAACCAGCCAGAGGTAATTTATTGTAACCAGGACTGTGGCCCAGCAACCTGATTCCTCGAAGCTGTATTTTGTTCCCTGCTTTCCTCTCCACCTCTGCAGCCTCCAGACAGAAACATGACCCCTGGGGAAGGACACAGCACCCTGCTCAGCCCTGGGCCCACCTTACAGATGAATTTGTTGCCCTGTTCTGAGGTTTCAGTGGCCCTGGAGGAGACGTGGCTTGTTAATTGGATGTTCTTCCACCACTGAGTCAGGGGCTTTTTGTGTTACCTGGTGCTAGCGACTCAGATTATGAGGGTGAAATACAAATTATCCTCTGGGTCGCAGTGCCACCTTGCTTTATACCTGCAGGTCAGTGTTCAGCACAGCTTGTTCCATTTTCCAACAAAACCCCTGGTGGGAAGGGTGAACGTGGCATGGGTGGCTTTGGCAGCTCACATCAGCCACACCTTTTCTGGACAAGTTCTATCACAACAGCTCAGCTGCTTGGTATGCAGCACAGATGGCAGAAAACGTAAAGGGCTTGTCAATACCAGAGCTGATGTCTCCATCACCAAAAGCAGGGAATGGCTCAGTGATTGTCCCGTGATTAACCCCACCTCGACCCTCACTGGTGTGGAAGGAAAGCAGTGCCCCAGACAGAGCACTCATCTTCAGCTTGTTCTTGGCCCTGATGGGCAAAGTGCCTGGATTGCATCATTTCTTGCCCATATCTTGCTGCTATACCCTGTACATTATGGGGAAGGGATGCTTTAGAACAATTTGGAAGTACTGTGCAGATAGATTCAGCTTCACTGAAGGATCTTTTTCATAGGGGCCATTGATCAGCCATTCCAAACTATTTGCAAACTCATGTCACTCATATTCCAGAATTTGGTCATTTGAAATATGATTACATGTGTGTTGACTCTTAGTCTCATTTCTTGATGGCAACTGCCCCCACTGGAGAGAAGGCCTGGGGTGTCACTGGGCACTGGCTCACCTTTTTTTACCACTTGAGGCCTTCTGAAACACACAATGGGCCTGCCCACACTTCTGAAGAGACTCCCCACTTCTTACAACCCTGGGGTGCCTCCCACAACACAGGAATTCCCCACTCTCCCACTGGGCAGGCTATTGTTGAACGTGCCCACAGGACACTGAAAACCATGCTTGAAAAACAAAAGAAGGTGGAGTCAGAGTGCCCACATGACAGATCTGCAAAGGCCTTGTATGTTCTCGGTTTTCTGAATCCAGAGGAGGTTGGCCAAACAGCGTGTGAAAGAAAATATTCTTCCAATAGAAAGGCTCATCCCAGGCCTGTGGTGACAGTAAAACACCTGTCAGCAGG